CCCCCCCCCCCGCCGGCCCCATTGGCTCCGGGGCCGGGGTATTGTTGCAGTGGGGCAGCTGCTGGGAGAGAATAGACAATAGAGCAGCTGTCTTGCACTGGCACCCTGCACACCAGCTGTCCACTCTTATCTGCACACACACTTTCGGGGGATATTAAGAGGTGGAGCTGTGTGCATAGAATTGGAAAAAAGGACTTCTGACCCTCACTGGGAAGGGAAGGGGGGGGGTGAGGGGCTGTGAGGAAGGGAGCAATTGTGAGCCCTCTTTTGTCTGTGTGCAACTGTATTAAGAAGAATGCTCATCCCCGGCGATAAGTAAAGTGCCCAGTTACGGGGCGAGATCAATACTCCTGCAGACTCCAGAGATTAACTCAGCCGCGCTTAACTGCCCCGGCCTAGTAAAAAGGGGCTCGCTCCTCACCCGCAAGGTGCTCTTGGGATCGGACATGTGAAAGGGAGGTGTTTGGCCCCAGCGCTGATGTCTCTCCCCGCTTGGTTTGTTTACAGCGATTTGTTTGCCTGGATGCGATGAGCAACACGGCTTTTGCGACAAACCTGGGGAATGCAAGTAAGTTTTCCTACTCCCCCTCCTGCTCCCTTCTTTGTCCTTAACGCTGATGCTCTGGCATTAAGTAAACCATTGGTCATTTGAAGGGTCGGTTTAAATGCCTTTCTTCATCTTAGATGGTAACTTGAGAAATCCAGGTGATGCCAGATCAAAGTATTAATCTACAAGTCAAACATCAGTGCCATTAATATTAACCTAACGAGTTTGCAGTGGTGTATGTAAGGTTTAGCTGTTTGTTATTAGAGTAAACAAATTAACTACCTGGAACCGTGGCTCTATCTAAGGAAGTGGAAGAAATAGCTGGGACCGATGAAAGCTGATGCTACGGTTGGACTTGGTGACTTTCTCACATGAAGGATCACTGAGGGCTTTTAGGAAACTTGATCCCTGGCATCAGTGTGTTTGCGGAGTTTGCAATAGAGTTTCCAACTGTGAGAAGTCTAAATCTGATGAGACTTTGTTGTTGGCTTTTTTTTTTTCCAGATGCAGAGTGGGTTGGCAGGGGCGATATTGCGATGAGTGCATCCGATACCCAGGCTGCCTTCATGGTACCTGTCAGCAGCCGTGGCAGTGCAACTGCCAGGAAGGATGGGGTGGCCTTTTCTGCAACCAAGGTGAGCTCTCAGTCCTTGCCTGAGCATCTGCTTTAAAGTGCAGAAAGGAAGCAGCTGTTTCAGCTCACCCACCCCGTGCTAGCCTTGCGAAGCAGCAAGTATCCTGGCTGTCTTCTTTTTTAAAATAAAAATATCTTTTACAGACCTGAACTACTGCACCCACCACAAGCCCTGCAAGAACGGTGCCACGTGCACCAACACTGGTCAGGGGAGCTACACTTGTTCTTGCCGACCCGGGTACACAGGCTCCAACTGTGAGATTGAAATCAATGAGTGCGACGCCAACCCTTGCAAGAATGGTGGAAGCTGCAATGTAAGTTTGAGTTGCTTCTGCCATCTGAAACCCCAAGGGAGGCGTTAATGTCAGTTTTACTGATTTTTCAAAATCCCTTTTTGGATTTCAAAACAACTTCAGACAAATATTTTGACCATTTCTCCTTTCTTCCCTCCAGGATCTTGAGAACAGCTATTCCTGCACCTGCCCCCCAGGCTTCTATGGTAAAAACTGTGAGCTGAGCGCAATGACCTGCGCTGACGGGCCATGCTTCAACGGTGGGCGATGCACCGACAACCCCGATGGGGGATACAGCTGCCGCTGCCCACTGGGTTATTCTGGGTTCAACTGTGAAAAGAAAATTGATTACTGCAGTTCCAGCCCTTGTGCTAATGGTAAGGCCAAACATGCCGCGGTGACCTTCTAAAAGGGGACCATCCAGCTACTTTGGCTTCTGGTCTGGAGTTCATAACAAGGCCCCCTGATCAATCATGGTCCATGTCATGTCACTAGTTGACTTGGTGGAGGAACTGTACTTAAAAAGTAACGGTGTGGTTTGGGCCACTGCTGCAGATCGCATTTTCTCAAGGGGTGACTGCGGCCAGGTAACGTGGCCTGAAGCTTCATGAGTAAAAGTGTGGAGGTTTATACTTGCAAATGTTTACCTCCAAAGACTCTTTGAGGTCTGTGGATGCAAAATGCCATACAAGTGCTAAATACTATTGCTTGTAATCTGGTAACAGTAATCTTCCTGTTTTGATTAAACTAGTGGGGACTTTCTTTACTGCAGTCCTCCTCATTCATTGCCACTCAAACTCTGTAACGTGAGACTGTGGTGTTAACCTGATCTGGACGAGCTTTGTTGTCCAAGCTGAGCGAAATGTTAAAAAGGGGGTAGGATGGAGAATGAAAAATAGATCCGATTAACAAATACCTCCCTTAAAAAAAACCCGCACTTTTTATGGTGGGTCAGGCTTGGCAAAGGTTGAGCTAAGCCCTCAGAAAGAAAGCTTTCCTTGGCTGCCGGCTGCGGCGGTCGCCCCGAGAGCAGCAGGGGGGAGGCTGTTGGGTCTGGCTGCCCACCACTCAGCGCTCGTCCCCCTTGATGTCTTGCAGGAGCCCAGTGCGTCGATCTGGGGAACTCCTACATATGCCAGTGCCAGGCTGGCTTCACTGGGAGGCACTGCGATGACAACGTGGATGACTGCGCCTCCTTTCCCTGCGTCAATGGAGGGACCTGCCAGGATGGCGTCAATGACTATTCCTGCACCTGCCCCCCGGGATACAACGGGAAGAACTGCAGCACCCCGGTGAGCAGATGCGAACACAACCCCTGCCACAACGGGGCCACCTGCCACGAAAGAAACAACCGCTACGTCTGAGTACACGGAAGGCCAGAATGCCCAGTTCCCCTGGATCGCCGTCTGCGCCGGGATTATTCTGGTCCTCATGCTGCTGCTGGGGTGCGCTGCCGTGGTCGTCTGCGTCAGGCTCAGAGTGCAGAAGAGGCACCACCAGCCTGACGCCTGCAGGAGCGAGACCGAGACCATGAACAACCTGGCGAACTGCCAGCGCGAGAAGGACATTTCCATAAGTGTCATTGGTGCCACTCAGATTAAAAACACGAATAAGAAAGTAGACTTTCACAGTGACAACTCCGATAAAAATGGCTACAAAGTCAGATACCCGTCAGTGGATTACAATTTGGTGCACGAACTCAAGAATGAGGACTCTGTTAAAGAGGAGCACAGCAAATGTGAAGCCAAGTGTGAAACGTATGATTCGGAGGCAGAGGAGAAAAGTGCAGTACAGCTAAAGAGGTATCTCTCACATCTGAGCGCAGGGGGCAGCCTGCCTCTGGAGGGGGGGGTGTGCGTGTCTCATAGGTAGCGTGAAGCAGTGGCCATCTGACCTGTGTTGTCTCTTTTTGTCTGCAGTAGCGATACTTCTGAAAGAAAACGGCCAGATTCAGTATATTCCACTTCAAAGGACACAAAGTACCAGTCGGTGTATGTCATATCAGAAGAGAAAGACGAGTGCATCATAGCAACTGAGGTTAGTATACTGCCGGGCAGCTGGAACAGCAGAGAAAGGTCTCGGTGCGCAACCCTCATCTCACACGCGTCAGGGCGGCTAAACTCTTTTCCGTGGTGCCACAGGGATTTGTACCTGTTGAAATCCAGCCAGCTCAACTTTGTCGTGCTGCGGATGTTGTAAAGGCAGGCTCGGTGACGTGCTGCCGTGGGTGTTACGGGTGCGACGACTTTTGCAGACGAGGGTAGAGCAACGGTGTGGTTGTGGTCTGCTGATCTGCCCCTTAGCGTGCTTCATGAAGAGCCCACTCTTGCCTGGCGTAAAGACAGAGTCCTGACCCTCTGCAGCCTTACAGCCCTCTTCTTGCTCCCCATTAACCACTCCTGATCTCTGCTCCTGTTTTCTCTCACCAGGTGTAAACCAGAGGCGATACGGCAAGGTGGTTGTTCAGAACAATTTCAGAGGAGACGTGCCCCGATGAATGCTGCTGAAAGAGGAATGGGAGATAGATTCCTTCACTGACTGCTGCTGAGAAACTAAATTCAGGCTTGAGCTGGTTCTCTACTGAAGTTAGCAAAGTGACTGCAAAATAAAGAAACAAGATGGACACCAGGCAAGGGTCTGTGTTCAAGGATTACTGTTGCACTGCCTTTTATGAATTTTATCATTGCACTATGGTCAGTTGCTTTTCTATATATATTTAAATGAATGGACTTAATTACTACATAAGAAGCATGCACTGCCTGAAGTGTATATTTTGGATTCTTATGAGCCAGTCTTTTCTTGAATTAGAGACACAAACACTGCCTTTATTGTCTTTTTTGATACTAAAATGTGTTTTTACTAGGTGAGAAAAAGTGTGTTATTTTTTTGAATCTGTAAAAATATTTTCATGATAATTGTAAAGCTTGAGTATTTTGTGATGTTCATTTTTTTATAATTTAAATTTTTTGGTAAATATGTACAAAGGCACTTCGGGTCTATGTGACTATATTTTTTTGTATATAAATGTATTTATGGAATATTGTGCAAATGTTATTTGAGTTTTTTTTACCGTTTTGTTAATGAAGAAATTCATTTTTAAAATATTTTTCCAAAATAAATATTATTAATGATAACCAGAGTGCTATGTTTATTCCATAACCAATGATGAACAGACTGAACCTTGCAACCAGGCATCTGACAGGCTTTTGTGGACTCATGGGTGGATGGGGTAGGACCAAGACCTATCACAAAGACTGGGGAACAACTTATTCTGTGTAGACCCCCCTCTTTCCCCTCTTAACCTTCTTAACTGTTGACCCCACAGTTGTGCTCGCTCTTACCCCAAAGTCAAAACCTTGAGTAATGTTTGCTCAGTCATGTTGGGTTGAGTATATATAAACACATATGACATCATTTCCCAAGGAAGAGCAAAGCAAGTGCGCTCCATCGCAATCCAGACGCAATCATCATGACTCAGCTCTTCCTTTCTTGTAATGTCAAACACTTGCCTGGAGTGCAGGGGAGTTGGGGACACCCAGGGCATGCCAGTGAGGGCCCCCAGCTCAGGCCCTTGGTGTGAGGTCCCCCCGTCACACTTGCCGGGGGGTGGCACTTCCCTCTGCAGGGAAGGGTGACATGAATTGACTGGTGGCCACAACTCTCCTGGCTATGATAGTTCTCTGAAGCATTAGTTTCATCTTTGGTTTCCACTCTGCCCCTGGTGCCTGCTGCTGTCATATCTGCCCCTAGCTTGGTCCCTAATGCTCAGGCAATTTCCCCAATTTCATTTGCCCTAACTAGCTCTCCTTCACGTTGTGCTGTGAGTTAATTAGCAGAGGCCCTTCAGAAAGAAGCAAAGTGTTCTTCCACCTCAGGATAAAAAGGAAAACATAGGAAATAATTTCCTTTTTGCTCTATTAAAGCTGAACCCCAATCATTCTGGGCCACTTCCCGTAGCTTCATAGAACTGATGAAAATCCTCTGTCCCCATTTGCTTCAGGGAAGGGGGATGCTGTCCTAAACACAAAGAGTGGGATAGCAGATATAATCAAGCACTTATTCCAGATGGTGATCTATATCTATAAAGTATATACGTGCTCCCATTGTTTTAGTGTATGTAAGTAGATGAATGGCTGGAACTGCATTTTGGTGTAAGGTTGATGGAAAACTCACACTGGCTGCAGGGGCTTGGCTGTCTATAAGGCATTCTCGTGAAGCCAAACCTTAGACAAGATCTACCAACTCACTTCTCATGAAGTGATCCGGCAGGGTCATCCCCTTCCTTTGTCTCAAAGTGTCTTTTTAGGGAAAGTTTTCATAAGGAGAGTGGTGTGAGGTATTAAAAACCAGCCTGTCAGTGATGGTCTGAACAGCGTTTTCAATCCGAGCAGTACCATAACAACCTGCCAATAACCAGTCAGTGCATGATGTATCAAATGAGGCACAACGGTGTGTGTGGTAGCAAGTGTTCAGAGCAACATAATCTCACAGACTGGACAAACAAGTGAGCCTTGGTAGGTTTTATTGCCATCTCTGTTGCTGATTTGCTCTTCGGCCTTGGGATAATCACTTTATTTCTCTCTGTTTCCTCTTCTCACCAAGCTTTTTGGAGCCGGTTTGTCTCTTACAATGCACTGCACTTTCAAAGTCAGTGCCGTGATCTCAGCTGGGCCCTCTGAATGCTGCTTCTGTAGAAACAGCAGTAATGAGCGGAAGGTCATTGGTGGCCACGTGCCTCTGTAACGTCAGGTCTTCAGTGCTACAGCAAGTACTACTTTAATACGGTGCCAGGTAAAGGTCCAGAAAAGCACACAGCTCCTTGCTCTTGTAAAGGGGCACAGCATCGGCATCTACCTAACTTTGCTTAAAAATAAAGCAGCTTTGGAAAACTCAGTCTGTCCAAGTGTTTTGGAACAAGTGTTAATTACCAGAAGCACTGAGCTTGCTGAGTGATGGAAAACATACTGTGGGAAAAGAGAAGGTCTTGTCCTGAAGCACCTTCTGAAATGATGGCTACGCAGATGAGCCCAACAGCTTCTTCCATTTCTGTCATGGGGCTACTGCCACATGAAGGATTTACTTCTTGTACAGGATTACTAAGTCCCCCAAACCTGAGTGCTCATGTATACAGGGGCTCTTGGTGAACAGAGCAGGTTTGAGGCATGCAGTGCGGAGCACTGGATCCACGCTCTTCACCTTTAGCATCCGGGCCTTTCTGGGGGAAAAAAATGGATGATCTAGGCAGGGGGTGGAAGTCATGCGCATGTTTGCTTGAGAGAGAGGCGGTGGCACATGCTGGTGCCAAGCCGTGTGTGCCGGCAGTGCACACCACGGGCAAGGGGCAGCGGGGTTGCCTGCCTGCCTCGGCCCCGACAGGGCAGCGCTTGCTCGAGGATGGGAGCTCTGCTGCCAAAAAGCGGCAGGAACCTCCCTGTCAGCAGGGTCTCCAAAAGGCCTCCTCGTTCTAAAACGAGAGAAGAGCCTGCCTGGGGAGGCCATTTAGCCAGGACAGCTGAGAATTCAGGGCCCGATCCAAAGCCCATTAAAATTAATGGAAAGACTCCAACGAGCTGCAGAGACGCATGGCACCGTGCCCCTCCTGACACAGCACATCTCCGGCTCTCCCTGGGGAAGCTGCATGAACCGATGCAACGTGTGTCCCCGTGGGCATGGGATGAGAAAGCCCACGGCTGGTCTAGCCAGGTCTGCCCCCTGGGCAACTTCTCCCCCTGGTCCCAGCCTGGGAGTTGGACCAGGACCTTGGGGACCTGGGGCCCCTCCTCAGGCTGTCACTGTGGCATCGTCCCTTCATGCCCCCACCTCCACCTGCAGCGGCCAGGGAGGGCTTGGCCTCATCCGGTGCCAGGTCTCAACAGGGTGACTGGAAAGGACGCCCCTCAGTCCACGCCTCTGCCTGCAAGGCTGTTTCTCTGTGGCAAGCAGAATTTGCAGGCTTGGCACGGACAGGACCTGTCAGGAACGTAGAGGCGCTGAAACAGCAGTGGAGGTCAGCAGCAGGGAGTTATTAGCTGCCCTGTCTGTGGAAGGGGACTTTTTAAGCAAGGTGTGTCACAGTTTTCTGTCCTGGTTTTGGCTGGGATAGAGTTAATTTTCTTCATAGAAGCTAGCACAGTGCTGTGTTTTGGATTTAGTACTAGAAGAATGTTGATAACACACTGATGTTTTTAGTTGTTGCTAAGTAGTGCTTAGACTACTCAAGGACTTTTTGAGTTTCTCCTGCTCGGCCAGGTGCATAACAAGCTGGGAGTACAGCACAGCTAGGACAGCTAACCCAAACTGACCAAAGAGCTATTCCATACCATATAACGTCATGCTCAGGGGGGTTAGTTGGTCTGTCGGGGGGAGGGTGATGGCAGCTCGGGGAGAGTGATTGCTGCTCGGGACGGGCTGGGCATCGGTCAGCGGGTGGTGAGCCATTGCATTGTGCATCACTTGTTTTATATATTCTGTATATTCTCTTACCATTATTATTATTACTATTATTATTTTCTCTTATTAAACTGTCTCTATCTCAACCCTAGGCTCTAACCTCTTTTTCTTCCCGATTCTCTCCTCCATCCCACTGAGGGAGGGGGGAGTGAGTGAGCAGCTGCGTGGTGCTTAGTTGCCAGCCAGGTTAAACCACGACACTTTCGAAATATAGGAAGCTTTGAGTTCAGACAGCATGTCTTAGGTTTAGTTGCAAGACACGAGTTTGTAGATTGCTTTAAATGGGTATTTGTGCTTACTTTGTATGCAGTTCAGGAGGACAGCCTGGGCGTCAGGAAACTTGGGTACTATTCCTGGCTCCACCACAGACTCGATGTGTAACCTTGGGAGAGGAAGGATGGTCTTGTGGTCAAGGAGTTGTGGAGGGACTCAGGAGGGCCCCCTTCTATTTCCAGTGCTCCCTCCAGACTTCCTGTGCAACCTTGGACCTGTGTCACTTAATCTTTCCAGGACCTTAGGAAAATGGGGGCCTCCTGGTTGTGCTAACGGGGAGAAGGTCATCTGCGCTTGTGAGAGGATACCGTGGTGGTGGGGAATGTTAAAATACCCTCCAAGGCGAGTAAGGCTATTTCCTATCTCTGCATGTCAGATTGCTTGTCTGCGAGGCGGCGAGCTATTTTTGCAGAGTGCTTTCAGACGCTTGCATGGAATAAAGACCCCCATCACAATTGAAACATCCATCATCTCAG